CACGTCTTACCAGGGGTTGATTCTGTTGGTGGCTCTAGACCTCCAGAAGAGTTTACCCAGGTCCTGTCTGATACACTCCCACAGGATGTGGCTGGTGCCCTGGCCCTGCTTACTGCTGCTCACCACAAACTTGTCGAGGTAGGGAGTGCCGCCGTTCACCGGCTCCATGGTGACGATAGCTGCTGCGCTGTACCTGGAAGGACACAGATGTCCAACAGCTGACATTCTCACAGTCGGTGGACATATATAAACTGACTGACTGATTTTCTGCTTTATCTTGAACATGTAAATATAACTGAAACAACAAAATTCATTGTAAATTGAAAAAAATAAGGTAAAAGATAACAAGTTGCCATGGAAATCTCTATTCGCAACACACATGACTATATACACATATACACACAATAACACATAAAGAAATATAGCTTTACAAAACCAAACAAAACATTGCATTTTCCACACTGTGATTAATACCTCTACAAGATTGAAAATATTTAAATTTTAACTGTAACTAAAGTACATTCTAAGTACAAGAACTGTAGAGAATGAAGTGATTTTCTCATTTTCAGAATGAGCAATTATTTATTTATATCAAACCATTTTCTAAATTTTGTTCATTTCAGAAGTCACACCCAAGATATTTGTGTCATCAGCAAATAAAACAAATATTAAACAATCTGACATTTTGCATAAATCATTGATAAAAATAATAAATAATTGTGGCCCCAAGACGAATCCCTGTGGTACACCGCACACAATGTCCAAACGTTCCGATTTATACTCTCCCATTTTCACAAGGTCTGGTTTCCACTCCCCGTCATCCTAATAATATTTCATGGTTAATCGTATCAAATGTGTTTTTAAGATTAAGAAATGCCCCAGCCATGAATTTCTTATTGTATTTTGTCATTGTCTCGTCAATTTGTCATTTCTTCTATGAGATCTGTTACAGTTTTTTCTGATGGCTTGAGCACATTTTTTGTAACTATTGGCTATTTTTGCAAAACTCTACACACAAATAAGAAAACTCTTCACCCAATCAGTATCCAACAG